TAATAATAATAATAATAATAATGTTGTTATTATTCAGGAGGGAGGGGTAACTCAGCAATTCTTCAAAGTTTAGGCAAAACCAAATTAAAGCATATAATTTTTAGGATAGCTGCAGGATTTGGGTGATAGATGGCTTTGTTGGGGGTAAATGCTATCGAACCCTCTGTGATGTCAGTGGGACAGCAAGTTCTCCTCAGCCTAAGCCTAGCAAACGGGTGAAGAAGGGACAGGACACAGGAGTGATTTTCTCGCCATTTAGGATGGTGCACTGTGGCTCAAGGCTCCTTTTTCCCCAGACAACAGCAGGTTTTTTTAGACTTAAATTGCATAGAGAGTAACAGACTGCACATTTACTGAGCCCACCCCCTCCTTTGAGAACACCCTTTCTGGCTGGTAACTTTTTCTCATTGCCACTTCCTCCAACAAAGCATTCGGTGACTTTACTGACAGGTCATGCCCGTAGGCCACTGAGAAGCAAAGAGATGACACAGCCCATCAGAGAAAAGGGCAGATGAGGAGCATTTTACATGGTGACGCAGGGGAGGAAGCTGCATGTGAGCCAGAAGTGTTTATTAGAGCTGTATACCGAGGTGGAACAACTGCAACAGGGAACCGCGGTGCTGAGGGGAGGTGGTGCAAAACCAGCGATGGACAAATCCTGTTCCCAGTAAGGCCATGTACCCATCAGAAGCCACACAATGGGTGAATAAGTTATTGCTGCAGATCATCTAAAAGTACACCTGTGGTTATAGGCCCATCTGTTTCGGTATTTTAAACAATCCTGAATTTTAAAGAAACGGTGGCATAATGAGACATGTAACAGCTGCCGTGCCAGTCATTCCCCACCACTGGTACAGGCACCAGTAAGAAACCACTGGCCATGGTTTCCAGATACGAGATGAGATGCTTTGTGGTTCTTTTCAGAAAGTAACGTCTCTGTAACATCTTGATCACTTTGCAGTGTAGGCAGCTGCGAACAGTGGCCATTTCTGAAAATGATGACTTCGTGACTACGGGATTTGCAGGGAGTTGGTCGCCTGGTTGTACCACGTGTGCTCAAAATGGAGTTGCCCCATCCCCTGTCACAGAATCGGCTTCAAAGGTCTCAACCCGAAGCATGCCAGCAGCAGAGCCGTTACTGCTTTCACCTGGAGTTCCCCTGATGGAGTTGCTTCTGAGGTCATGCCTGTTTGGTTAAATAACTGGTACAGTGGCCTAAAAAAAAGCGAAGTCGCACTATGCTGTACACCACTCCCTTACTAAGCTTTTGCGTGCGTGCTGGCTCCCCTTGTAAGCACAGCAAGAGTTATCTGGCTAACAGCAGCCTGCATTAGAGCACGAGCCATCACCAATTTCCCTGGACAGGACTGACCTGGCTGCTATGCAGAGACTCCCGATGCTTTCAAAAACAGCAGCTCTCTGGACATGCTCAGAGCAGTACTTTTAAGGCATCAAGGCCAACTTTCAGGTTTCAATACTCGGCTTTCTCAAGCTCCCAGCAGTTGAATTAAGGGCTAAAATTATGCAATTCTGACTTTCAGTGAGTACGGCATCTGCTAGAAGTTCAATTTTGTGAGCGAGCGTTTGTGATGTAAATAATTTACAGCAATAAGAGAGGCATTAGGGCAAGCCTTGGCGAGGTGGGGGGAAATTCAGATTCCAGTCATTGCTCCTTGTCAGGAGAGGTGATTGAGATACCTATTCTGTGGCAGTTTTTTTGTGGCCACCGAACACCTCCCATCAGAGGCCAAGGGAAACTCCCAGGTGAAGGAAAGCGTTATCTTCCCACACAGGCAGCAGACACGCACGCTGCCACAGAAATCCACGAGGGAGGCGGCAGGAAAGGGAAATTAAAGCTGACACACAATTTGAGTAAAGCGAGTCCTGAAAGCCCAGGGAAAGCAAATGGAAATCAGGCAGAAGCTATTTCTAGGCAGAATTTGGGGGTGACAGAAGCAGAAATAGGCTTTTGCTAAGAACTAAATTCAAACCCTCCCAAGAATCCAAATTTAGTGTTCAACACTGCTTGTATCTGCTTGCTTTGTGCCAGCTCACATGTGCTAAGCTGCAGCCCGATTGCAGAAATTAAAGGGGAAAAAAAAAACCCAAAACATCAGAAAAGGTTTCTGGGAATTAGCGTAGAGAGACCTAAGGAGCTCCGCCTGATTTCCAAGCCAGGGAGCACTCTGGAATCGTAATGAAGTTAAAGACAGGCAGAGGGGCTCAGCACCTTTGGAAAATCAGCCCACTTATCTTTGTGGATGACACTGCCTTATCTTGTTAACATTGGCACTTGTCCTGTGTGCAGCTGACAGCACAAACTAGCGGATGTTAAACTCATTCATTGCGATGAGGCAGCGAGAGGGAAAATAAGTTGAGGAAAGCAGGGAGCAGGAATTCTGCTGTCATAGCCAGTCGGGAACTGCGAGCTCTATTCCGATACGTACTGCCAAAGACTTCCCACTGGTTGCCTTCTCCAGCTGTGCAAAACCCTGCAAGCAAATAAAGAGCAGGTGAGCACAGGAGCTGGGTACTGCACTAAACACTGCATTACGGAGGTCAGCGGAGCAGAGGAACGTGTAGGAATGGGATGAAAAAGACTGCCCAGTCACATTGCATTAAGAGGCAAACAAAGCAGTCGCGTATGCAGCCAGGCAGGTGCCCCTTTCCCTCCTTCGCTCTATCGGGAGACAGAGGGAGGGAAAAGGAGGCCCATTTTTATAATCTCCATGCAGTGGCAGGGTTTCTGGTTGCCACTGTGATGACTCCTGCCCCATCCAGATAATCAGCCAAAACAAAAACCATATCCAACCTTCTTCCAACATACAACTCTCTCATTTTCCCAGTGGTTTTCATCTTGAAGGCTCTTTACGTGAAGCAGTAACTGCACCTGACCCTGGCACACTGCCTGCTTGCTGGAGGAGCATCATGGCTGCAAACAGCCCTCAGCCCCTGCAGCAGGGTGGCCCAGGACACGAGGAGGAACTCTTTAATTACCTTTGGAGAGGATTTTCCACCTCCAAGGGATGTTTCTCTCATCACCCAAGCTGGCTCTCTGCTTTTCCCCCCCCCCCATGAAGCTAACACAGCCTGTTTATCACATTACTGGCAGCAATTCTGGCTCTAACCAAGACCCCTGGGACCAGCCCCAGTATTTTTCTAGCTAATTCTGCACTAAGGGTCACTGCTTCCCACTCAAAAGCCACAGGAAAATTCCTGTATGGGTCAGTCAGTAGATGTGAGGGTTAAATGCTCTTCATTCAGTGAACTCCAGGAGCTCTCTCATCCAGCCTTTATGCTGACACTGCATAGGGGCACTCACCTAGAAGAGTTTCTCGTAGCACTTGTCACAGTGGACAATGTCCCGGTGGATGAATATTCTGTCCAGAAGATCTCCCATCGCTTTGTGGCAAATTCCACACTGCCAAAGGGAACACAAGGAGGTTGGCCAGTGACCAAAGCACCGAGCAGCCAGGACAGCATGGAGGGGGCAGAGGAACAAGCAGTCTCTGTATCATCTGACAAAGGTGCAAGAAAGCCAAAGCAGTGACTTTTGAGGCTAAACTTTCCTACAACAGACAAATGCCACTGCAGGCTCTTTCCTCCCACATGCACCATTGCCACAGACTTGGAAACTGCAAGGTTTGAGAGGTTCGGCAAGACCTGCACTGAGGCACAAAGGCCACAAGGCAGCAAGTCTGCCTCAAGGACAGAGACATGAGGAAAGAAGGTGCTGCTATTCTATCAGGTAACAGTAAAGAGTTCTCCTTGTGCTAATATGCATTCGTCTGAGGAGCTGAAAAACTTTTGGGTCACAACCAACACCTGTGACTGCATGACTTTTGTTTTTTTTGTCCTGATGTGGATGCAAGCATTTGGGCACACATTATATACTATGTACTATATTCCTCCTCCCACCACTCCATTTCACAGCAGCACATAGCAGGCAGTCAGGAGTTAAGGGTTTTTTTACCCTGAAGCAGTATTCATGGCAGCAGATGTTAAGATGCTCTATTATGATCTTCGGGCAGTCTCGGATCTCACGGCTGCAGTAACTGCACACAGGTTCACTGGCCCTGAGAAGGAACAGAAGAGTGAGTTCCTCTGTAACACAAACTGGTTCCAGTCCCAGCACTAGTACCAGAGGTATTTTACCAAACACCAGCATTGCTCTCCATGAGCTACTGCTTCAACATATGTTTATCTGTGTCAAGTGACAGTACAGAGGGATACTGTTATCCCAGGGATGCAGAGACCACACCAGCAGGGCAGTACAGATCTTAAAGTATTTCCAAAAATCATTTACACTTAATGCTGTTATTTCACCAAACACATACCAATATTCTAAAAACACAAACCCTTCTGTTTAGCAGTTTGCAGAAAGCCCCAAAGCAGCCCTGAACTGCCCTACCTGTGCAGGGGAGCACTGGGCAGGTAGCTGTGGTGGCTGTAGGTCACTCTCTCTGAATCGGTCAAATCCACAAGGCTGCCACTGGAGAGAGAAGGAAATATCAGCACTTGACAGTGCATCTCAGGTGGAATCATTAACCATTAACCTAAAGTCCTAGGCAGTGTCCTGCTCCCTGCTCCATGCCACAGCTCAGACCCAGAGCCTACCGAGCTCAGCCTGGTTAAGGTTAAGATAAGGTTTGCAAGGAGTAGGCACCTCCAAGGGCAAGCAGAGACAGCAAAGAGCTGGCAGCCTGTAGGGATTTAGGCTGTTGTTCTATGACTCCTTCCCACCTGGGGAGAAGAATCAGGAAAAGGAAAGGAGACCCATGGATTGAAATAGAAACAGATTTAATAAAATAAGAATAATAAAATCCAGTATTAATAGCAGTATTGATACAAAGTACAAAAAGTTATACTCAGTTAATATAGTGCTCGCAACAAGCAGGAGAGCAGAACAACAGGCAAGACCCTCTAGTGATAACAAACATCGAGGAAAAAGTGGGCATTCCCAGCAAACTCCCCAATTTATAACGAGTGTGATATTTACGGTATGCAGTAATTTTGCTGGCCAGCTTGGGTCAGCTTTACTCCCTCAACTAGGAGCTGTGGCACAGAGGCCCTCTTGTCACCGCAATGGGACAGAGGACTGCAGAGACAGGCAACCGTCTATGTCGCCAGAGCAGCGCTGCTGCCTTAGCAAAACTCTCTGCCCACTCAATGCAATCATCCCTCCAGGGCTAATTAGCACAACGAGGTGCTGACGCAGAGCTAACTGTTCCAGCTTGCTTGGTGTATGTTGGCTGGCAGAGCCGTGCACTGTTGCATTGCACACGTATGTGGACACATGAGCATCTCTGGACACTCCTCGTACCTGCCATAGCTGGGGGAAGCCGAAAACTCACTGCTGTTCACATACTCCTTCACAAAGAGGACCCCTTTCCTAGGATGGAAAGAGATGGAGAATCATTTGCATTAGAAAAGACTGGAGCTATAGAGACAGCATGAGGGATCACATGTGTGCGTTTGGACACACAACGCGTGCATGAAAAGGCACAGAGTGAGATGCTGTTGTTCTTAAATAAATACTGAATATCATGCATTGTTGCTAAATAGCACCTAATATACCCCTCTAATTAACCTACCAAAACGAATCGAGTTAATTAGAAAGAATGGGATGGATAATATAACTCATCCAGTTATCCCCTGTTTTGCAAGGATAAGTCTTTTGCAAATCATGTCAGGATTATGCACACAATGAGTATTTAGAGAGCTTGTGGTTCTGCCCATTACCATTAAAACCCTACTAGCACAGCACTACTTTCAGCGACTGCTTTGTCACTGGAATATCTCCAGTGTTTTCATCCATTATAAAGTGCTACTGGTTTGTTTCAGGGCTGTTTCTGCTTACAGAGCTGACCTTTCCTGCGTATCCCTCCCTCTTTAAAATTCTGATTTCAAAATGACATGCCCCCATCTGTCTGTCTGTCGCAGAGCGAGTGAGACGCTTTGCCCACCGGCTTTCTTCCCAGACCCGTGAAATGAACTAATCAAGCTCTTTCTCCATGGTGCATTTTCATTGCTGCCTATAAGCTATGATTAATCTTCCCTTCTTATGCGAGCAAACTAAGCTCTGTCACAGCTAAGGGAGGAAAAGCTTTGTTTTTTTTAACTTAGCACAGACACTTCCCAT